CAATTGATGAGTAAGATTAGCTGCGAGTCGCACATCCGGACTGCAGATACGGTTCGTCCCCAGACCATCGAAATGGATTCCAGCAATCTATTGCACACTTGACATGCATGGTTGTTCCATGCGCTCAGCTGGGCCTCGTCCGCGGTCTGCATGGTTCCCTGTGGAGGCATCTTCATATCCGTTTCCAAAATGCCCCCTTTTAGGTTAATTTCCCCTTAATGCATGGCCGAGCTCACACTCGAGCCCGCTTGCGCCCTGGCACCTGTCCATGTCTATTCAGAAAAAGTTGGGCGAGCGGTGCGCCCAACTGTAGGACTAGGAACTTGGAAGTAGGAACACATCGTACGTAAAGGAGATATATTTGTTTTGTGTTTCCATTCGCTCCGCAATGTTTTAGCGCCGTTACACAGTGCATGGGAGCCGTGTACGACAATTCGCTGCCCTGGTCTCTTGACAAGCCGAAGGAGGGCCCACCGACTACTATAATTGGCGATTGACGTTTTGCTCCTCCCAAGACGACATGTGGCATCTGATGATCCCTGCACTGGCTCACTAGCATTTTCCGCATTGGGTAAAATTCTGCGAGTAAACACCTGCACCACAGCAACAACTATGGTGGCAATGTTTATGCAAGTGTGCTGTTTCAGCTTTCTGTAGAGCTCCCCAACCCTGTCAAATGTTGACCGCAAGCAATCCGTCGCAGAAAGGAATAATGAAATGCGTCGGCAGTAACATGGGTATCATATCCTGGCTCGACCACGTTTCAAGAGATAAGAGTCATTGAAGCAATGGCGGTGAAATTATCCGATCTCCCGAACCACCAAGAAATCATCAGGCTGACGATCTTTGGGGACCTGGCAAGTCTGATCGCTGGAACAGCTGCATTGCGTGACATCGAAGGGTATGTATGTGTGTGACTAATATCCTTCAGACTGGCAGACAGTATCATATGAGCAGCATATCCTCCATTTGGACAGGGCAACTCTCACCTGAAGCATCAGGTTGTTATGGTACCTATCGACCACCGGTCTCTAGTTGGCGACAGGAGGATTGTAGAGGGACGCAGCATGTAAGTAGCAAAGTACAGGAGATTCTTCCATACATGATACAGAGTCAACCAGTGTGAACTGGTTATCACCCCAGAAGTCAATAGTCAAAATGTGCTATAGAGTATGGACAGTATAGTGTGTGCCGGATGGTGTACAGCCTCTGCGTCTTCACTATGATGGCCAAATTATGCCCACCCGGCCATAGTCAATGGGCAACAGCATTTGACGTGTACACGCTGAAACGTCATCCAACGATCCACATTCCCGTCTGAAGGGAGGGATAAATAAACGTTGTTCGGACATGCTCGGGGCGGCAGAAGTCCAGAGCCACAGAGTTGGGACCAGGGCAGTGACAGACTTCAATAACGCCAAAGGTGGAGTAGCTAGCAACTAACTCCCTCTCATCCCTTCCCGAGGCCAGAAAAAAGAGAGAGAGAGAGAGAAAAAAAGTATTCCCCCGCTCAAACAGGGATACCGCAGGGCCCACTGGATGATTGTTTAAGGCTTTAACGGGCGCCGCCGTCGGTCAAGTTCGGTCTGTCCGGAGAAGATGGGAAACGGAGCGGTCGCCAGGTGGATGAGACTTCACTCACTCATACTGTGACACAGACGCAAGCCTCACCCTATGTGGTATGAGGACAATCATAACGATCATAATTTACATGGTTACATATCACTGTATCATAGTCTTGCTCTGTTAATTTCTATTGTCGTCGCATTGGCCTTGGATCAGGGTCGAGAAACAGCAAGTTGGTTGCGAATCATGATCCGCTCCCCGCTTGCCGATCGAACATGGGTGGGTTGGCTCGGGCGCACCGTCGGTTCCAGAGTCCAGGGAACACGGTCGATGATCGCACCTGGATTGGATGGTCGATCGATAGTAGTCTGATCGGGCTTGATCGGACGGTGTGTTGTGCAGCAGGCGTGGAGGACATGGGGGAAAATGGAGGATGGCTGGCTGAGAAATTGGAGTTCCTCTGCGCGCCATTTGACCCGCTATTCGCTTGTCACTTCGAGTGGCAGCACACGCTAAGATCTGCCTGGTCCTCTCCCCTGACTCGTTCGACTCAACGCAGGACGTTAGATGCTGCGGTTCGAAACTCAAAAGGCAAAGGCACCTACCAACCAAACCGCAATAAGCCTTTTGATGTGACCAAGAGGAGGAACTCCTTAACACTGGCAGTGGGCAGTCACGAGACTCACTACTAAGTCACTGACTCAGCTCGTGGTTATTTCGAGGCTGGTAAAAACCATACAGTATTGTGCTCACCGAAAGTAACAAGCTCTTTGTTTCCCCCCTTGTTGAACCGATAATAGGTGGTTTCCTGTACAGTGCCTGCGTTCAAGGTTAATTCTCTCTCGTCGATGTGCTTTGTAAAGCCACCAGCAGCTTAGTACCGAGTCTGCTGACTCGATTGAGTAAGTGAGTATACCAGTTTCTCTGCATACACTGTATGACTGTAAAATGGCATGTGTAATGTATATCATGCACCCAAGGAGGTTTTCTGTCTTGCACCAATCCTTGTTTGCGTATGTCCTATCTCGCCCCTAGATAATGCTTCGCAGCGCTCTAGGCCCGACAACAGGTTAACTTGGATCCGTCAGATCTAGATAGACATATACCATCTGCTATTCATCGTGAAATCAATTCAATAATTTATCCCACGAATATACACTTTACACAGGACAGTGGCACTGCAACTGTACTATGCTCTTCTACCTCATCCTGCCTCGGCGACGCTATTGCTTTTTCTCGCAGCCCACTTCGATTTGATTTATTTCATCCAATCCTCCGTGGCTCCTGCTGAGAGATCAAAGCACACTGTTCATTTATCAGGAAAACGAATGTTATGAGTCAGAAATGACTGTTACCAAAGAAGCCTATAAGCAAAATAGAAAGATGAATGGAAAGAGAAAGGCTTCAGATGAAATCTGATATACTAGAATGATGAATAGCGAAACAGGCACTACTGAGTCTTGACTACAGTCCTATTCAATCTGGTCAAGGGTAGCTTAGGCCGACATGTGCTGAGCAACTCGCACAGGATCTCACAGGACCCATAAGCGGCTACTGTTCCCTACGTTGAGGTCTCTTTTCTGAGAATGGTAAATTGTGAGATGGTGCAGTACAAGTCTTGGGGGAGAGTCTGAGCATGTGAGATAATAGTGGTTGTTGTCAATGGAATCTTCATGAATACATGTAAGATCATTATAGTGGTGTCATCATGTCATGATTGTCTTCGCCGCGAAATTCTGGTACATGTACGTAGTGTGCAAGGCGAAAGACAGTGGATGGAATGGGTATTACTACTAGTACTATCATACTATGACTATCCTGTCACAGTTCCTTACCATACCAAACTCTTTTTGAGCGGTTGCCCAAAATCAAGATTTTTCCAATTTTTCCCATTTTTCCCATTTACCCAATTAAGATGCTCGAGAGCCGGTCTCTAGCGCGGGACGTGATTTGGAATACCGGAGATGGGGCTCCAAGTCGATCACGTCGACGACGATCGCTACGGTATTTCTCCCAGCCCGGATTCCTGGGTCACGGTGACGATCGTCGGAGTATTTGGTCGTTTGGTACCAAAGATTGCAATTGTACTTTGACAATGCAGCAAAGAACCACAAGCTCATCACCACGCAACAGGTATTGAGCACCCTACGTCAGATCCCAGGTATGTACTGTACTCCATCATCGTCGCACATGGCCGCTCAATACATACTCAACTATGTCATGGCTGGTACAAGTTCCTTGATCGTTTGGATGTTGTCAGATATCCCATACAGGCGTACAGTAGACGAGTCCCGTGGGCGTACGATTTGCCCGAAGGACTCGCGATCAGAATAATAGACGAGTAGAGCAGTAGAGTGCTTGTGGATTCTTAGAACCTGGTGGTGGAGAGTACTGACTTGATCATGTCCACCTCAGCTCTACATAAAGCTAGTCCTTAATATATACTTGTAGTTACACATTAGTACATAGGACATACTGAGTAAGTGAGATTAATATGGAATACCCTGAAAGAACAGATGAGAAGGATGTTCATCCTCGAGATTGAGCCTATGGCTAAACCTTGTTTGATTGGTATTGAAGGCTAAGCGGGTGCCGGCAAGTGCTCACTCAACATGACCAGAGGTCTCCATGTGGTTATTGTCTGTACTCTGCCGGTCCAGAATTCAATCCCTTGATAGTCGATGTCATCCTGCTCAAGTCAAGATTTGTGTATGCTCCCGATGCTTTGCATAGAACTTGAAGGTCCAGGCTCAAGTATGCAAATTGAGAGACAGACTCTAAAATTTCCCTGTTTGGAAAGGCGGAGGATCTGAAGACCGATGAACTTCCCAAGGATGTGGTACAGAGCGTTGAATACAGTCTGGTATTTTTACTCTGTACGGTAAGGACCCTCGGGCCATTTGAGAAGCAAAGTGTCAGCTCCGAGATCGTGGATCGTGATCTTCTTCCCATAGCGTGCTACAGGTGGAGCTGACCACAGGCATTAAATCATTATTTGAATTATTCTTCCCAAATGGCTTCTAGCCTGCTTTTTCTTTCTTTTTTCCAATTTTCAATTTGTGATTATTGCCATAGTCACTTACCATTTTTCTTCCTTGTCCCATTTTCTCTTATTCTTATTTTCTTTTTTTCCTTATTTCTTTTTTTTTTTTCTAGATGGTTGCGACCCGACCCCCTGGGATGTCCGCCCGCCCTGCAGATATAATACTAAATCACCGTGCCTCCTCTCCTCTTGAGGCAGAAACTACATGAACAACTGACTTCAATCTCGACTGAAGTCCCCTGTGACCCTACTCATTGCCCGACCTCGCCTCTGTCACCTTGCGAACTGTTGCACATATTCACCAACATCCTGTTCACAGCATCTCTCACCGTCGCCTTCCACTAGTCGCTCTCATACTTCGCTATTCTACTACGCCTTCTTCACCCCCACCATGGCTCCCTCTCACCGTCGAGGACCCTGGGTCCCCGAGGAAGATCAGCTTCTCCTGCAACTGGTCCGCGAACAGGGCCCCAACAACTGGGTTCGCATCTCACAGCACATGCACTACCGCTCTCCCAAGCAATGTCGGGAGCGCTTCCACCAGAATCTGAAGCCGTCGCTGAACCGGGAGCCCATCTCGGCCGAGGAAGGCCTCATGATCGAGCGAATGGTCAACGAGATGGGCAGGCGATGGGCCGAAATCGCCCGCCGTCTTGGTAACCGTAGTGACAACGCCGTCAAGAACTGGTGGAACGGAAGCATGAATCGCAAGCGCCGTGGCCTGTCCAGTCCTCCTGCTTCACGTACCTTCAACGGCCGCATCGAGCAACCATATGCTCGCGCTTCCATTGCGGGCTCGGCTCGACCTCGCTTCGCCACTCGGCCTTGGACAGAGTCCTCCCCCATCACTTCTCCCGATGGCCTCTCACATACCCGCCGCGAGTCTTCCATCTCAGTGATCCGTCAACTCTCTCCGATCTACACCCTCCCTTCCATCAACCGTTCCATTGAGACTCCCTTGACGTCTCCGGCCTTTTCAGATGCCTCGCACACCGGCTCCGTGGAACCACCGTCTATGGTATCTGATCACAACTCCGTGAGCTCTGCTTCCCCTCGCACACTGCCCTCGCCACAGATCTCACCCATGCGTGGAGACTCGACGGCTCAATATGACACCTACCGTCCCACGAGCGTCTCTGTGCGTGTGCTCGAAGATACCCCCACTACTTATCCGTCTCGATCAACGGATCACTTCCCCATTGCCTCCAAAGGGTCCTGGTCAGACCATGTCCCTACGTACCCTTCCTGGTACAAAACGACCGACTCTTTGCCTAAGCCTTGGGCGACGAGGCCGATCGAGCCCCCACGCGACGAGCGTATGGGTCTCAACAACCTCCTCAACTGATCACTTTGCCGACCAATCTACTTTCTTTTGTTCATGATTGCACGAATTTTCTTCCTGTGTTCTCCATTCTCCGGCGTGCCATGGTACCCTCGTCTTCTCCAGGGCTTCTCTCCCCCCCCCTCTCTCTCTCTTTCTCAAACAAAAATCCTCACCTGTACTGCTAATGTGTATTACCATTTCGCAAGCGGAGGAAACCAGGTAATCCTGGAGGTTCTTGACTCTTTCTTTGTCACTTACTTATCTTCTTCCTTCTTTCTCCCCTCTTTCTGTTTTGCTCCTCTTGAAATCTTTTCCTTTCACTATCTGAACCATCTACTCTTGGGCTTGTTTCACGGTGTCCATGTGCGCCGTCTAATTGTGGAACCTGGAGCGGCGTCGCAACAGGAGTGGGGAGAGGAGGTGGCGGTCTCGAAACACCAGCGAGCATTTGGTGAACCGGGCTCCGGGACAAAGCTTGTTAAAGGGCAAGGGGATAAAGGGAGTCACTGGGTTTCTTTTCTTGGATATTCTCTAGCATAATACCCCCTGCATTTTTTTTCTGGATCATGGAATTGATTACACTATTATTTCATCACATTTTGGGTTTCAAAAAGTCCTTCTTCATACATCGAGCTGTGCTGTAAGGTAGTATTTCAATCTTGGGAACTCTTCCATTCTTCTTTCTTACCTCATCGCTCATTTCACTCATCTCAAAAATGAAGAATAACCCTCCCCTTCTTACCAGACCCATCTGCTGTTCCAACTCCATGTGTTTGTCGGCAGGTGCTTAGGGATCAGCTAACCGGATCATGCTTCGTACTCTGGGCCCCCTTGGGGCACCTTCTGCTGCCATGTCCGGAGGAGGGACTGTCAGACATTGCGGATCCAGACTCGATCCACGCCATTGAAACCACCCCCCCCCCCCCCCCCCCGGCCAAAGAAGGACTGAGAAGCCTGTGCAGATTGTTCAGAATGCATGGGTCTCTTTCTGCCAGGGAGCCGTTGCATGTGTACCTATTACCTTAGTACCTGCAAGACGTGTCGATGAACAGGTATGCGTATACCATGGCTGCTATTGCAGTAGCTTACTTAAAAAGGATTTGCAGGTGGATGTTTTACCTATAAGGGAATGGACTCAGGACATCTTAAGGTAGGTGATTACGAGTATCGCGAGCAAAACACCACCATACTGTTTCGACTCCCATGGTGTCACATCACGTCTTCATCTTCACATCTCGCGGAAATCAAGGCACAATGGCCAAATCAAGGTCTGCAAAAGTCCAGCCCTCGGGATCCACGGTACCCAGGGGGAATGCGGCAGCTGTTCAACGCTCACGAGGCCGCCATGCAAGGGAGAAGTATGATGATCATGGTCGTGACCATGGCCATGACCATGACCATGACCATGTAAAGGTACCACCCGATCTCATGGTGTGCCTGTCAGCCTGATGTATGAAGTAACAGGCTGGCATACAACTACAAAGAATGGCCGAGACCGGGACTGAAAATACCTGAAATTAGAGTAGATCTAGAAGAGGTTATTCGAAGAGAGGCAGCATGACTACCCAGACCACCCAAGGTGAGTCCAAAAGAGAGCCGAAAAAAATACGAATCGGAAAAAAATAAAAAATAAAAAAGAGCTTGGTCTGACTCTGCTATGCTTAATCACGACCTTCCTTCCTTGTCGTAGGGCCGAGATTGTGTGGTTTCTTAACTCTTAATATTGAGCATTGACTTGGCGGGAACAATAAACGGGCGAGGCACAAGCCATGTACGCAATGACGGTAGATGGTATCCACCATTACCTTTTTTAACAGCATTGCGGTCCTTCTCAACACACTTTTACATACGGTAAGGCTGTAAGCGCCCTCACGTTTTCAGTAGTCTGGTCCGGCACCCTGGGACGGTCTGTCTGTATGGAAGGGGGGATGCTATCGATGGCGTGGATGGAGTCTGGAGTGGTCCGAAATAGTTCAACGTCAACACTACCTCAATAGTCTAAAAGGTTGACTGAATCACACGAGATCTTTCTCACTCCTCTTCCTCCTTGTCGCGCACTCCCCCCGCCCTTTAGGCTGGATGACTCTTCTGTCATAAGCCACAATCAAGACCAAGGCAAACCCTTCAAAGTCAAAATCGAGCGAGAAAGGAAAGAAGAAAAACAGGTCCAAACAGTAAAACCCAAAGCGTCACGAATCGAGGCAGTTTTTCAGAGTTCTCGAGAGCGCCTACCGTCTGTGGACGATTATTCAACGGTTTCCGATCCTCTGCGCTCCGGTCCCAATTTTAGCTGGCCTTGCTCTCCCTACTCCAACTGGGGCCCGTTGTGCCGACCCAATCGTACGCTTCTACGCTTCACCACGACCAGTTCTGCCTCGGCGTGGCGCCTCTTTCGTCCATTGTCCCCGCTTGCAGACGGTGGTGAGGCCAATGGGCGGTCCTGATCGGAGGCCCTGATCAAGTCTGAGTTCATCCGGAATGAACGGCGGGGCTGATGATCATTTGGGCAGGGCGACACGGTTCGCATCGATCTGAGTGTAAGTTGGGAAAAGGAAAAAGAAAAAAAAATCAAACATTTAGACTCGACGAGGAGGGGGTAGAAAAAAAAACAAAAGGACGGTCATAATGTCAAATCACATAGAGACATGGATGTTTTCTATAGTTCTGTAGATGTCAAAGGTGGAAACAAGAAAACCACACATGCGAGGTTTGAACCAATTCAAGAATTCCATCTGGTCCATGGCCACCGTTCCCCATCCAGTCTCATGCAAAGACTTGATGAAACTCCCACAGCCCCGAAAGAAGACTTTCCCAAAAAAGCAGCCCGCATCCATGGAGAGAAAATAGGAAACCTGGCAGCAGTGAAACTGCGCGGTTCTTCCTCCCCACTTCACTCGGATCCAACAGAGCGTCATGCCGAATCACAACCAGTCAACGGTGATCCTTGGAAACCACCCCTCCCTGTATCCCTCCCTCCCCGGCCAACACATCGACGTTAGGCCGTTACTCATGCGGAACTCTGTAAGTTTAAAAGTGAGGGTCATGATACAATATACAATACATGCGACTGCGGCTTTGCCCTTGTGGACCTTGTGTTGGCTTTCTTTTTGTCCACCTCGTCCGGGCTGGATGCCGACGGCGTCAACCATTTGGACTCTTGGCGAGTAAACGGGGCAGGATACCACGTCTAGTAGGTATACACCAGTGACACCACTGCCACAGTGCCACAGTGTCTGTAGGAGACTGCTTTAGGCCATGTGCCTCTCGGATGGGGGGCCAGAGCCTTGCGCGGAGTGAGAAGGGCGCGGCTCGGCTGATCCGATCCACTTATTGCTGGAAGGCGAGTGGAAGGGAGTGAGTACATGGACACTGGATGACTGGACACGGTGGACAGTGGGCACAGGACACTGACAGTAGGGACAGGTTCGTGCTTTGCGCGGTGCGATCGAGAGATGATCAGAGGGGTAGTCAAAGTCCCATAGAGCAGTCTCGGCACGTCCTTTCTTTTGAGATCGAAGTTGACACCTTCTGTCGGTATGCTGAATCAAAGCAAGGTCAGCCCATACTCCGACTTGGTTGGGAGTTCGAGATTTAAGTTTCATGCAGTATGCACTATGCACTGAATATGCGCAGGACTGCTAGTCTGTGTAACGTCCGGGGAGCTGGGATCAAAACGTTTGACGTTTACGACTATGGCAGGATGTTGATCCTATGTTCGTGCAGATCTTCCTCTGATCCTGTCTCGGATGTATTGTGTGTCCAGAGACTGGATTTGAGACGAGATTGACATATGGAATGTACAGTGACGATGGTCGATGGGCAAGCTCTGGGCAAAAGTACCTATCTACTACCTATTACAGTACTCTGGGCATGCGATGAGGTAATAGCATTGTGACCACTGAAGGGAGTCCAAGGGATAAACGGTTCACGTTTCTCCGCGGGCGAATCAAGTCTATCTAGGACATTGTAGGTTTTTGTTTCTTGGTCCATAATTGACTTGTGCCCATAGTAGAGATATTGCCATGGTGTAAATCCAGTTTCAAAGCTACAGTAGCAACGGGTAAAAGGTCTGATGGATGAATGATCTACATAGGGGTATCACGACTGCCAGTCGAGGCCTGGGAGGTAGTGACAGCCCACTCGTAGTAGAGATGAGCTACTATAGTAGCCTCCAACTACTAGCCTGGACCCTGTTTGTCATACTCATGCATCCCCGGTCGCCGCGATCAAGATGGATGCAAACTTTCATCTACAGCCTCACTTGGTGGGCACCAGGCCAAGACCAAGGTTCCCGCCAAGCGGTCGCAAAACTAACCGTATGTGATCACATCCAAGACGATCTTATTCTTGCCGGTCAAGAGTAAACACACCAAAACTTTATTACATCTGCGATGACGATCATTCCTGCCCGTCGACGAGAACCAAACACCACCTGATCGGTGGTTCAGACTGAGCTGAACAGAGCGCGAAACGTGGTTGACCCTTTAGGCTCAGCAGCCCGGCCTAGCCCCAGAGTCCAGGAGTGCACTGAGGCCAGGCAACGAGGGTCTAGATGGCCTTTTCGGTCATGAAGCGAGTCCGACATTTGCCCAACGGAGACTTGGATGGCTGTGATTCTCGGGTGGCCCTACCATGCTCTCATTGCCAGTCAACATGCCTTGCAGTGGGAACTTTGGTGCAAGATATCATAGCCGTGCAAGTATATCCCGGACATGGATCATGTGGCATCGATGCGGTTCCTCATAGTGTCTTCGTACTAACCTCCTCTGAGCTTAGTGCTGCCCATCTCACGCCAGTGCCAAAAGCCGCCCAACCGCCCAACCGCCCAAAAGCCCAAAAGCCGACTCAAAGGGCCCTGCCGGCAGATGATTTGGAATTCTTTTCCACGGGCCTCTTCCCAGCCAGGCGGGTCATCCGTATTGGGCTCACGTTCGACCAGACTCTTCGCAAGAGGAACGATCCAGACCACGCGAAACCCCCGTTTGTCAACTCTTTCTAGTTGGGTTCTTTTGGACCAGGAA